CATTTTTGGGGGTCCCTATTCCATTACGGGGGGGTCCCTTTTCCCTTTTGGGGGTGGAAAACCACCCCAAATCTCTCAAAAGCTCCCCATTTTGGGGGGTCCCTAGCACAGTTTTCCACATGGGAAGCTAAGCAGGGTCGGCCCTGGTCAGGGTCTGGATGGGTGACCTCAACCTTGCTGTGTCCCCTCGAATCCCAGCGTCTCTCCTCACACAAATGTCCCCAAAATGTCCCCTCGATGTCCCCCTCCCCAAATTCCAGCCTGGCCTGCCTGTTCCTGAAGCGGGGGGCCGACGTCAACGCGGTGGACGCGGACGGGAGGGACCCCCTGACCATCGCCATGGACTTGGCCAACGCCGACATCGTCACCTTGTGAGACCCCCGGGGGGCGCCCTTGGGTGGGGGGGGGCACCCCAAATCTGACCCCCCCAAATCTGACCCCCCAAATCCCCCCCCAGGCTGCGACTGGCCAAGATGCGAGAGCTGGAGGTGGCCCAGGGACAGACCAGTAGGTTTGGGGGGGTCTCTGGGATTTTGGGGGGGATCCCTGGATTTGGGGGGGTCCCTGGATTTGGGGGGTCCTGAGGGGCATCAGGGGCAGAGTTTTGGGGGGTTCTGGGGTGTTTTTGGCGGGGTCCCCCAATCCTCAGGGAGGTTTCTCAAGTTTGGGGTGGCCTTGGAGGAGGGATTGGAATTTCAGGTGGATTCTCGGATTTTGGAGGATTCACGTGAGAGTTTTGGGGTGGAATCTCTGGATTTTGGGATGGATCCCTGATTTTTGGGGTCCCAATTCGGGGGTCCCCTCCCCTGCCCCCCCCAGGTGACGACACCTACCTCGACATCTTCCGCGACATCTCCCTGATGGCCTCGGACAACCCCGAGAAGCTCGCCCGGACCCCTCCCCCCAAACACTCCACCCTTTAGCCCCGCCCCCTCGGCAAACCACACCCCTTCAGCAGAACCACGCCCTCTCAGCAAAGCCACGCCCCCTCCTCGGGCAGCAGCCAATGGAATAAAGTCTTGGTTTGACCAAAATTCACTTGGGTGGTCTAGAACCAAACCTGATTTGGGTGACCTAGAACCGACCCCGCCCGGAATCTTCCCCCAGAATTGGGGATCCCAAAATTGGGGACCCCAAAATTGAGAATCCCAAAATTAGGGATCCCAAAATTGGGGAGCTCCCTTGGGTGACCTGGAACTGAATCCCCCCAACATGGAAACCCCAAATGAGTGATCTAGAACTGACCTCCCAATGGTTGGGTGATCTAGAACACCCCCACACCCTCCCCCCAAATTTTGGGGGGTCCCTCTGACCTTCCCCTCCCCCAAATCCCGCCCCATTGGTGCACCTAGAACCGTCCCTCCCCAGCCCCCCCAAAGGACGAGAGCCGGGGCCGCATTTTGGGGTCACACGGGCGGTTCTAGAGCGG